CTCCATCTAGAACTTCCACATGTGTGACAGGAACTCAACCACCTGAGCGGTAACTGCTGCCTCCTTGGGTCATTATTACCAGGTAGCTGGAGTCAGGAGCAAGAGCTAGGTATCAAACCCAAGTATCCTAATGTGGGATGTGCATGTCTTAACCTGCAAATTAAATGCCTACCCCCTAAGCATTTTAGAGTTCATTTTGATGTTTTGAAATTTGTTCATATTGAAGTTATTGTATTCATTCAGTGTCCAGCCATTCCCTTCCCCAACACAAAGGTTTTGGTTAGGTTCTGAGAATCAAGAAAATGTAGAAGTTTAATATTTTAGGATAATAAAGGAGGCCAGCATCACAGCTCAACAGGCTAATCCTCCGCCTAGCGGTGCTGGCACACCGGGTTCTAGTCCCGGTCGGGGCGCAGGATTCTGTCCCGGTTGCCCCTCTTCCAGGACAGCTCTTTGCTGTGGCCAGGGAGTGCAGTGGAGGATGGCCCAAGTGCTTGGGCCCTGCACCCGCATGGGAGACCAGGAGAAGCACCTGGCTCCTGCCTTTGGATCAGCATGGTGCACCGGCTGCAATGCGCCGGCCACGGTGACCATTGGAGGGTGAACCAACGGCAAAAGGAAGACCTTTCTTTCTGTCTGTCTCTCTCTCTCTCTCTCTCCCTCTCTCACTGTCCACTCTGCCTGTCAAAAAAAAAAAAAAAAAAAAAAAAAAAAAAAAAAAGGAAAAGAAGAAGAGAAGAAGTACATGAATGTTCCAAAAAGAAAGTGATTCTTTGTAGTTCTGAAGATCAGGGAAGATCTCATGGATGAGATCATATGTTTTGCTGCACATTATTAAGAGAATTTAGAAGTGATGAAAAGAGGAATTCTAGGCATATGGGAAAGTGTGAGGTCAGCAAGGGCAAGGTAGAGGGAACAGAGAAGTTGAGAATAGTGATGAAGATGTTATTAGCGATTTTGAATGATATGGAAGGAATGTTGACTTCTCTGAAACCAAAGTAAGCCATTGAAGTTCCTTGAAGACCCCAATAATAGTGAGCCATGATAAAAAGTATGCTGTATAAAGATTCATCTATAGCAGTGCTTATGATGGATCAACTATAGAAGAGATGGGAAGAAGGAAGACCACATAGGAGTGTTCTGTATACTCCAGGCAAGTGATCATTAGAACCCTGAGGTTATGGGATATTGTTATTATATTAAATGAAATAGGAAACTGCAAGAAAAATAGGTTTGGAAGTAAGGATTGAAAGATACTTGTTTAATTTAGTATTTGTAAAAACCATAAAGTTAGTGTCAGTGTTCTTTATTATTTATATAAAAGGAACAAATTTAATGTATTTCATATATACAACTTTAAGAACATAATGATACTTCCCTCCCTACCCTCCCTCTCTCCCTCCCTCCCTCCCTTTGTCTTTCTTCGTTTCTTGTTTTTCTTTTCATTTTTGCAGTGACATACATTTTTTCAAATTATTTTTTTCTTTTTTTTTTAAATTTTAATTATATTTTGCAAATTCAATGTGGTTTGTAGATAAAATTTTAGGAACATAATGATACTCCCTTTCTTCCTCCTTCCCTTTCAATTTACTTATAATAATAACAAGCTTAACCCTCCACTAAATATAGAATTCAACAAGTACTAAATAGAAAAACCACTGTTCCTCAGGAGTACAGACGAGCTATAAACAAAAACTAAATCACAAAATGTCAATTTCACTCATACACATTGCATATTTTGTACTCTATATGTTAGCTACCACAAATCAGAGAAAACATATTTTTCATTTTAGAACTGGCTTATTTCACTAAGCATAATGATCTCTAGATTTTCATTCTTTTTTTTATGGCTGAGTAGTATTTAATCATGTACATATACCACATTATCTAGTCGTTAGTTGATGGACATGTGGATTGATTCCATGTCTTATCTATTGTGCATTGAGCTGCTAGAAACATGGGAATACAGATAAATTTTTCATATGCTTCTTTTATTACTTTTGGGTAAATTCCCAGGATTGGGATGGCTGGGTCTTATGGTAGATTTATTTTCATATTTCTGAAGAATTGCCACACTGTCTTTCATAATGTTTGTAAATCACATTAACAAATTATAGAATAAAAACCATATGCTTATCTCAGTAGCTGCAAAGAATTCATTTGATAAAATACAACTTCCTTTCATGATACAAACTTTAAACAAATTGTTCATATGGAATATAGCTCACCACAATCTAAGGAATATATGACAAACCCACAGCCAGCATCATATTGAATAGGGAAAAGCTGGAAGGATTTCTACTTATATCTGGAACCAGACAAGAATGCCTACTCTCACCATGAGTCTAGTTGTGGAAATTTTAGAGCCATTAGACAGGAAAAAGAAATCAAAGGAATACAACTGGGAAAGGAGGAAATCAAATTGTCCCCCTTTGCAGATGCTATGATCCTATGCATAGGGGAGCTAAAAGAGTCTACTAAGAGAGTATTGGAACTCATAAGAAAGTTTAGCAATGTTAAAGGATATAAAGTCAACAAAGAAAAATCAAGTCTTTGTATGCTCAAACAAAGACGTATCTGAGAAGGAACTTGTAAAATCAGTTGCATTCACAATAGCTACAAAATAATTTAAATATGTTGGGATAGCCTTTGGTGGCCATCGCCAGAGTGGCAGCTGCCAAAATGAAGTTCAGTCCCTTTGTGACTTCTGATCAGAGCAAGAACCAGAAAAGACATTTCAATGCCCCTTCCCACATTCGCAGGAAGATTATGTCTTCTCCCCTTTCCAAAGAGCTGAGACAGGAGTAAACGTGCGATCCATGCCTATCCGAAAGGATGATGAAGTGCAAGTTGTGCGAGGACACTACAAGGGTCAGCAAATTGGCAAAGTAGTCCAGGTTTACAGGAAGAAATACGTCATCTACATTGAGCGGGTGCAGCGAGAAAAGGCCAATGGCACAACTGTCCATGTGGGCATTCACCCCAGCAAGGTGGTTATCACTAGGCTAAAGCTGGACAAAGACCGCAAAAAGATCCTGGAACAGAAAGCCAAGTCTCGTCAAGTAGGAAAGGAGAAGGGCAAATACAAGGAAGAAACTATTGAGAAGATACAAGAATAAAATCATCTTATATATGCAACTTTCATTAAAAACTGAAATGAAAAATAAATAAATAAATAAATGTTGGGATGAATTTAACCAAGGATGTGAAAGAGCTTTACATTGAAAATACAAAATATTAAGGAAAGAAATAGAAGAAGTCACACAAAAAATGCAAAAATCTTACATGTTCATGCTTTGGAAGAAGTAATATCAATAAAATATTAATACTTCCCAAAGCAATGTACAGATTCCATGCAATCCCAATCAGAATAGAAAAAAACAGCCCTGAAATTCTTATGGAAACAGAAGAGACTCCCCAATTAGCTAAAGCAATATTAAACAATAAAAACACAGCAGAAGGCATCACAATATTAGATTTTAAGACATCTTACCAGGTAATTGTAATCAAAATAATCCTGGCACTGGCACAAAAATAGACATTGTTACCAATGGAAGATGTTAGAACCCCAGAGATTAATCCACACGTCTACAACCAACTAGTCTGAAAAATGAGCTAAAATTACTCCCTCTCTGATGAAGGGATAGCCTCTTCAACCAGTGGTGTTGGGAAAATTGGATCTTCACATGCAGAAGTATGAATTAAGACCCTTACATTATATGCTAAAGAAAAATCAACTCAGCGCATCAAGGATCTAAACCTAAATCTGAAACCATCAAATTACTAGAGGAAAACATAGGGGAAATACTAAAAGACATTGGCATAGGCAATGACTTGCTGGATAAGACTCCAGAAGCACAGGCAATAAAAGCAAAAATAAACAAGTGGGATTACATAAAGCAGAGCAAAGGAAACATATAACAAAGTGAAGAGGCAACCAACAGAATAGGAGAAAATATTTGTAATCTTTATATCTGATGAAAGATTAATATCCAGAATACATAAAGAATTCAAGAAACTCAACTACAACAAACTAAACAATGTAGTTAAGATATTGGTAAAGGATATGAGCAGGCGTTTTTCAAATGGTGAAATACAAATGGCCAATTGACACATGAAAAGATGCTCAGTATCACTATCCACCCGGGAAATGCAAATAAAAACAACAGTGAGGTTTCACCCCACCCCCTTTATAATAGCTATCATCCAAAAATCAAAAAGTAACAAATGCTGGTGAGGATACTTAGGAAAAATGTCATTGTTTTATGAATAGATATATATATATATGAATAATGCAAGTAGCTGATGATAGTAAATAACATAAAATATGAGAGTTGATGCTGATTTAATGAACTGAATTTTGGTTATCTTGGCTGAATAATTTTTAAAAACATTTGAAAGACTGTACTATTATTGTATATGCTTTTATAGAAATGTGTCTTCATGACAATACTGTGATTCTAGGCAGATATCACAGTTTATTCCAGTGATCTGGTAGATGAAGAGAAATCAAGGGGATATGGTTTTTTACTGTTGGAGATGTAGGTAAAGGACAGTGTATTGTAAGCATGCTTGAGACAAAATGTGTTGACAAATTTGATTGTAAGCTTCCTCCTTTCATGAAAATAAAGATAATGTGTTATCATTTGTTTTTGTAATATCAATACCTTGCTGGTGTGTACAGTTTGTGTTTCTTGTTTACAGTGTACTTATACAAGGCACTTGCCATAAGGCTTCAGCAGTAAGCAAGGCAGTCATTGCCCTCTGGGACCTACAGAGTAATGAGAAGTTAATCAATCATAAAAATTAAATCAAAATAAATTGTGTAGATTGTCAGTGGTTATTAACAGTGTGATAATTATGTGTGATAATTATGAAGACGCGATGCATTGAATATGAAATTTTCCCATTTTTTGAAATGCATTGAAATGAATTTCTTAGTTTCTTAGGAACACTTTCTTTTCAGATGATGTGTTTATGCTTTGTTTGTTTGTCAATAGAGAGCAGATCATAAAACAGTCCACAGAATTAGTCTGCAGAGCCTATGGTGAAGTGTATGCAGCCGTGATGAATCCCATCAATGAATACAAAGATCCAGAGAGCATTCTACACCGATCGCCACAGCAAGTGCAGACACTTCTTTCCTGATTGTGTTGTTTATTTTGTTGGCGAGGTTTTACATCCCTAGAACACTAAAGATTGTCATTTTTAAGGCTATTAATTTTCACTTTTAAATTTGATAGAATTTTATTTGTAATGTGCAACTGTAGGTTGAAATAATTTCCTTTTTTCTCAATAAACTGAAAGTAAGATAACATGTTGGCCTGAGTTCGTACTGCTCCATATCTGACTTTTTTTAGAGATGCTCTATACGTTGTTACCTGCCTTTCTATCTCTGCAATTTCTTATTGATTCTGTAACATAAGTGTATGACAAAAGGAAGATGAGAGGTGCAAATGTTTTTAAGACTATTTTAAAATTAATAGCATATAAAAATTGTCTGCACTTAACAATTAGTATGAGGATATTTCCTAATAAATATCTCTTTATCTAAAGATTCATGCCCTTTCTTATTGGTTACTAATGTTAGTGGTTTTGCTTCATAGCTTTTTTGAATCCTACCTGTGTCTTTGTCCCCAAAATAACTGCCTGAAATTGTTAGAAGAAAGACAAAGGACGGTGGATTGTGCTGCTTATGTACATAGCAGGGAGTTCCGCATTGTACCTAACTGACTACACATTTGCTTGTGAATGTAGATGTGCAGTTAGCAAAAAGGAAAAATGAGAGGGAAATCATTTAAATAGAGTGGATTCCAGTCAGGTGTCCTTGGGGATAACTCAAGGTAGAGCTTAACACTTTAACTGAGTTTTAGGTCAGTACACATCCTGGACTGCATGTTTAAAGATAGGTGTTTGCTATATAGTGTGGACCCTACATCCACAAACTTGCTCTGATGTTGAAAACAAAGAAGCAATGATCTTCTTGTATACCGGCAGAGAGATTGCCAGAACAGTTGCTAGTGGGCAGCAGGTCTGCTTCCCAGATTGTGGCTTAGCCTCTGACTTTAGAATTGTTTTTCTTTTAATTTTTTTTATTAACTATAGTTGTACATGTTTATAGGCTACATTATGACATTTCAGTATAATTCTATACTGTGTACTGATCAAATCAGGGTAATCAGCATTTCCCTTTCTTTGATATTACTTTATGATGAGAAGCTTGAATCTTCTTTATTTATTCATAGATCATATAATTGGTTACTCTGAACTGAGCAAGATTCAGAATCACTGTAGTTTTTAAAAAAATGCATCTCAATATGTTTGATGTGGCTAACAGTTCTTAATAGCAAAAAAAGAAAAATTGAATTCCTGGTAGAGAAAAGTAGTCCTTAATTTATGAATGATAAAACTGAGGCACAAAGGAAAAAATTGACTTTTTAAAGATTTATTTATTTATTTGAAACAGTTAAAAAAGCAGAGGCAGAGAGAGAGACAAGTCTTCCATCTGCTGGTTCACTCCCCAAATGGCCGCAATGAGGATATGACCTAAAGCTGTGCCAATCCAAAGCCAGAAGTCAGGAGCTTCTTCCCACATGGTTACAGGAACCCAAGGACTTAGGCTGTCTTCTATGGCTTTCCCAGGCTTTTAGCAGAGAGCTGAACCAGAAATGGAGCAGCTGGGAGTCGAACCATCAACCAGATAGGATGCTGACACTGCAGGTGGCAGCTTCACCTGCTATGCCACAGCGGCTGCCCCAAAAATTAATTATTTGAAAATATTTGTAAATAATAAAATTTGTAGAACATGGTTTATTAACCTCTCTGAAGTTTATAATTGTTTATAACTAATATGATTCTTTGGAGTAAGAATGATTGATGATCTATCATCCATTCTGGTATGAAATTTTATTTTTGGTCTTTCTCCTTCAATGAGTAAATGTGATATGTAAAAGAAAATAAAATATAATTTAAATTTTACATAACTTATTTCTACTGTGAAAACAATATTGACACTTTACCATTTATGAATTCCTTTGTTTTCTAGAAAAAAATGTATTTTACCTCTTACCTGATTTACTCAAAAGATTAAACTATTTTGAGTAGCAGTCTTTGGAGTGTTTTTTTGCACATCGTCAATGTGTTTTTGGAAAATGTGCAAATAGGAAAAGGAAGCATAATTATGTGCCTCATAACAGTGTTTTGTTAATGATGAACTGACCATTAGAATACCATGAGATTATAACAGAGTTGAAAAATTCCTAGGACATAGGGAAATCATGTTATATGTTATGCATTGATAATATGGTTGTGGTGATGCTGGCATAAACATACTTGCTGTGCTGCTAGCTGTATAACAGTATTGCCACTAAATTAAGTATAGTACATAATACTTGATAATGATAAACAACTGTTTCATTGGTTTATTATTTACTGTGGGTTTTATCTTATCATGTATTCCTTATTTAACATTTACTGTAAAGCAGTATGCTGTGTTATTCTGTCAGCAACCTTCATATATATGTTGTTTACTGCATCTCTGTTGCAGCACCTCTTGTGCCTGATTTAATCTCATGTTGTCCTGTTCATCATGGCCCCTGAACAAACATAATCCAGTGCTAGTGTTATCAGTAAGAGACTAAATAGCCTAGGTATATGGTGGGCTATCCTATCTAGGTTTATATAAAAACATTCTATGATTTCACACAGTGACACACCTCACAAGGCATTTATGATAGTGTGTCCCCATCAATAATGATAATTATAATCATAGAAAATTTTATAAAGTATAAAACAGTTATACACTACTTTTGGGTACACATATTGTAAAGCTATAAGGGAAACAGGAATTGATTATGGACCATAAACATACAGGATTGTTGAAATGAATGATCATGTTCTGTTAGACTTGGTTGTTGGTATGTGTTATTTTTTTAAATATTCTTTAACATTCATTATTATATGAATTCTCATTGTATATTTCACAACTTAAAAAAGGCTGTTTAAGTAATTTGTTAGCATAAGGCCTTGACTAAAGTTAGAACTCAACACAGGGTGAATATCTGTTATCTGAAATGCTTAGGACCAGAAGTTCTTCGGCTTTCAAATTTTGGAATATTTTCATATATATATACTGTGATTTCCTATGGATGGAACCAAGTCTAAAACAAAATTCATTTATGTTACTTATACATACAGACTGAATATGATTTATACAATTATTTTAGTGTACCTTTGATCCATCACATGATATCAAGGTGTGGAATTTTCCACCGTGGCATTGTATAAGTGCTCAGGAAGTTTCAGATTATGGCTTTTGGGATTATTGATGTTCAACCTGTATATATATATATAGTATATATATATAATATATACTATATATATAATATATACTAAAATATAAATATATATATAATATATAGTATATATATAAAATCACTTACTACTATTCAAGTTTATTTAGTACCATCTAAGATTCAAGATCTGTGATAAATACCAGAGTTTTAAATATTAGCAAACCATGTCAGTAGGGAATCCTCTGTCTTGTAGAGACGGTAGTTACATGCATTATAAATAATGTAATTTGGTAGAGTGCTTATGCATGTAAGTAAGAAGAAAAAATGAATAACAATCTTTTTTAACTCAGTTGAATGCATATACTTGTTATTGAAGTCCTGGAGATCACAGAAAAACTAAATTTCAAGCAAGAACTCTATAGAGTTTTTATTCTGAGATGATTACAATGACTGGGTCCCTTTATTTGGTCAAGATGTAAAATTGTCTAACAGCATGATGACCTCTGCAACAAATGATGGATTAAGAAATTGCAAAATTCTGCCCCTCCATAATGCAACACCAAAACTGGCCTGCCTGCAAAAAACTCAAAATCAACCTTTCCAAATCTCTGGAAACTATTTGAAAGCTTACACCCACCTGGGTCATTAAAAAAAAAAAAAACACTGAATTTTTGTCAGAACAGCGAACATTGTGGTGTTTTAATTAATATTGATTCCATACCTTGTTCTAAGCTCAGTAGTAGCTTTGAAAAGAATATCCTGCATTTCTCATAACAGGAAAGGTAGAATGAACCTTTTTTGCAGATTATTCATATTTTATCTGACTGGTGATCATTCAGAAAGCTTGTTTTTATCTTACTTGAAATTCATCCAGTGTAAATCCACTGTCTGGAGGACATGTATCTAACACATTTATTGATAAATGCTTTGTCACTGCTACCTGAAGAAATGAATGGTTGTATCAAATAATAAAGTAACTGAAAAGATTTGGGAATGAGATATTCATAAGGACATTGAAACTGTGATACATTCTTAGGGATCTAAAAGTGTATGTGCATGTTTGGGAGTGTGTTTCTGAGCATCCTCAGTAAAGACCAAAGATACCCCAAGATCTCACCTCTACTTGACCTTGAGTTTTTGTGCAAGTAGGAAACAGAGGCTGAAAAAAAGTCAGAACTTGCCTGGCTGAATGTTGAAGGCATGCCACAACATGCACACTGAGCACTTAAAGCTGAGAAATTCTTTAGTTATTGGCATGAAAGTAAATCTTTATTCAAACTTTAGCTGATAGTCAAGCTAATAGATTAGATACTTAAGTGATCACAACATTAAAACATAGATTTTACAGAATAAGTCATTAAAACACAATCACATATACAAAAGTTCATAAAGACACACAACCACAAGTATTTTAAAAGACAGCAATAAAGTGGCTATGAAGTGGAAGTATATGACTTCCAGAATGGATACATTATCATATTTAAATATCTATTTTTTTCAAGGAAAACATAGGTAAACACCCAAAGTATGACTTACAGGCTGGAAAAGTAGTCAATAAACACTGTCCTTGAGGAAGGCCAGATACTGAACTTTCTATACAGACTGAAGCTATTTTAAATATGTTTAGGAGTTAAGGAAAATATGTCTGAAGAACTAAAGGAAAGTATGAAAACAATGTTTCACACATGGAGAATATAAAAATTATAAAACAAATTTCTATAAAGTTATAAATTCTAAAAGTTATACTTTATACCTATATTTTATAAGATGTCTAATAAGAAATATCTGTGGGCATGAGAATTGCAGAACAAAAAATTCACTTGGGATTCAAAACATCTTTGAGTAGATAGAGAAAAGGGTCAGAAAAATTGAAAGTCAATTGAGATGATCCAGCATGAGGAAAAGAAAGAAAGAATGTGAAAATAGCCTCAGAAACCTGTGGGATACTACAAACAATAAATGTATAATGGGAAACTCAGAAAGAAAACAAAGAGGAAGAGAGGGGAAGAATATTTGTAAAAAT